AGCCAACAGGAGAGCTAGGCTCTAAACATAGCACGAAAGGCAAAAATTCTGTCCAAATTGTCCTTTTGAAGCCCTTGGGGAGGCACCACGGTGGAGATCAACACAATATCTCTCATAAGCCCAACCCTACCCAAGGTGCTCCTGCACTGAGACCAACGGCGGCCACTCCATGGACCTGAGCCAGGGATGCAGGAACTGAGATGCTAGAGAGAGTAACTGACTCAAAACTCAAGCTGGACCGTACTTTCACTCAGTGGAATACAGAACCCAATGACCCACACCATCTAAATCTCAATCCCCACCCCCACTCCTCTCTCCCTACCCCTTCAGTGTGCCTACCTGCGATTTTATTAGGTAAAATCCATTCATGCTACAATCCTGCTATACCTCCACTGGCTTCAGGATGAAACCCAAACTCATAGGTGTGTCACAATATAGTGTTTCTCTCTCTCTCTCTCTCTCTCTCTCTCTCATCTCTTACTGTGTTCTCCTGGCCTGTGTTCAGTATTTTGGCCATAAACATCTTTGCCACAAGCATTTTTGCAGCAAATATTTTTGCCACATAACTAATTGACCATAAGGCAATTTTGCCATAAAAGATAAAAGAACTGGTTGATTTATACTACATAAATCTAGGCACTCATAACACTCTACACGGTGACAAGGAGACAGGCAGTCTTAAAGCACTGGATGATAACAGCTACATGTGTCGACTTGATTGTAAACATGGTGATAAAACTTACTGGAAGTATGAAATAAGAGAGGGTAAAGCCAGATTGCATACTCTACTAGAAAATAATAACATAGCAATTTGCAAATCCTTCAGATATTTGAAGGTGGAGAGTTGAACACACATTTCCCATGAACTTTGGAACATCTATCAATGAACATGTGACAAGATGCCAGGAATACACAACAGTGTAGAGGCTTTCACAACACAAAGCTCAGTTACACGTGTGCATCTCAGTATTTGGAAACTGATCCCTCTCTCTCTTTTTTTTTTTTTTTTTTTTTTTTGTGGTACACGGGCCTCTTACTGTTGTGGCCTCTCCCGTGCGGAGCACAGGCTCCGGACACGCAGGCTCAGCGGCCATGGCTCACGGGCCCAGCTGCTCCGCGGCACGTGGGATCTTCCCGGACCGGGGCACGAACCCATGTCCCCTGCATCGGCAGGCGGACTCTCAACCACTGCACCACCAGGGAAGCCCCTGATCCCTCTCTTAATGGAGGAAGAAATCTTAGCAAAAAAGAAAAAGTGCGATGCTGAACGGGAAAACAAATCACATTTTAAATGTATTCAAATATTTTGCATTTTGCAATAAAGTCTTTTAATCTTCGTTATTCATTTTTCATGTTCCATTATGTCCTGTTTAATGATGCTCTTTTATTTTTTATCTTTTACAGGAGAATTGCCTTATAGCCAATTAGTTACATGGTGAAAATGCCTGCAGCAAAAAGTCTTGTGGCAAAGATGTTTACAGCAGAGAAGCTCATGGCAAAAATACCTCCAGACCGACTCCTTCACTCCAGATGCCTGCAGATCTGCATGGGTATCCTGCCCTCCACGCCTCTGTGCCTCTGCTCACATTTTCCCTCTGCCCCGAATGTCTGGATGCATTGCCTTTAATTCCTCCTCTTGGAGGAATTAATGGGCCCCATGATGACCCATCTACCTCTCTTCCAGCACTGACCAGGCACTGACAGCACCCAGCTGTCCTCTCCCACCACACCAGGCATCCTGGGAGAGCGGGGCCCACATTTCTTCCCTGACTTGAACAATAAAGAAATGTACATCCCATCCCTGGCAGTAAGGAATCAAGAAAGTTACACAATAACCAAAACAGCTCACTCCTGGTTCAAGCTACCAAGGCTTCCTTTGTCAACCAAATTCAGATCTTGGCTTCCATGAGCAGTTTACTGACTGTGCCTTCTCTCTCTGTGTGCCTGGCTCTGTGCAAAGATCTGGGGAAATTCAAAGTAATGTAAACCCTGGGCTTGGTTTTGTATCTCTACTTAGCCAATTACCAGTTAATGTTTCTCTGATGGCTCCCTTGGGGACATTTATGGGCCCAAGAGTATAATGAAGGTTTGTTTAATGGTGGATTCAGCCAAAAGGCTATTTTGAGAGACCAAGGGGCCTCCTGGGAAATAACTCCTCCTAGGGAGATGCTCAGAGCTTTGGTCCAAGGACATTACTTCGGAGATTTGGAAAATCTCCTCCCGCAATCTCTAGGTCTCATGTCTGAGTTGTAGGAAGATGGAATTGCAAGAAAGGCTGAAATAGTCCTGAAAATTATAAGGCACCAGGAAAGCGACACAGAGACCCTGTTCTTTATGTGGTATAATAGATTGCATTATGGTTCCAATTTTCACCCCTCCCTAAATTTGCCTCCTTTGCTGTATGACTGCAGTTCTCCTCGCTAAAAGGGCACAGAACAATAGTTCCCAGTCCCTTGACTTTGAGACTGGTTATATGACTTGCTGTGACCAGTGGAATAAAGCTGAAGTAAGAATGCACCAGCTCTGAACCTAGGCCTTGAGAGTTATCGCGTGTTTCTGCTTGCCCTCTTGCACCGGTGCCATGCTATGAGAAGAATACACCTAGGCTAGGACACTGGTTCCAGCAGGACTGTGAAAGACACATGAAGCAGAGCTGAACTGGGTCACCTGAGCCTAGTTGAGAACCACCTACCCTCTGTTGAACCCCAGATGCATAAGCAAGTCAACCAAGATCCAGTTGAATCCAGCCTGGACCAGCCAACTCTCAGCTGACCTGCAGTTCCCGGAGAATAAACGATTGCTGGTTTAAGCCACTGAGTTTTGGCTAGTTTGTTATACAGCATTTTCTTGTGGTTCTAGCTAGCTGATACATACCGGAGTCTGGGGCCTGGCCACCACACCAGTTGTTCCCATATTATTGATTACTGGGCCCAGAGAACAGACCTGGCTCCAGCCAACAGTCCTGAAAGGCCAGGGTAAGGCAGTGGAGGCAGCTTTAGGGAAAAGATGCCTTACTGACCATGAGCCTCGGGTTTTATATTTTAACATATGAAGAGCACAATGCAATACAGATGGATTTGACCGTCCACTAATGGGCAGCAAGAACATTAGGACTCTTCTAATATTTAACCTTAGAGCAAGTGAACATTTTCCCAACACATGAAGTTTTCTACAATCCAAAATACAGTCTGCCTCAAGATAAAACAAATCCACATATTTTTGTTTCATGTTACTTTTCCCCTAAAACACTTTTTGGAAGACCTTTCTAAAACTAAAAGTCATGATCTGATAACTTATGAACCTTCTTTAGAATTGGTTTCTCTCATAATCCCAGGAGGACCTTCTGACTAATGTTAAAACAATTCCAATACCCACTTATCAGTTTGAAATACTTTTCTAAGCTTGGCACAACATGTGCTACTTTAATCTACTGCACTAAGTCCTAAGTAAAAGTAATGCTAATTAATATTTAAGAGGTTTGGAAGAGTATCTGTGTGTATGCGGAGGGGCGGATGGGGGGCAGTTACGTCACCTTTCCCCCGATAAATGTAAACAAAAGAAAAAGAATCTTATGGGATATGGGGATATATGTATACATATAGCTGATTCACTTTGTTATACAGCAGAAACTAACACACCATTGTAAATGGTTATACTCCAATACAGATATTAAAGAAAAAAGAATTCTTACTATTACTTTCCTTTGATGAATAACAGGTTATTTATCAACAGAAGTAAAGACGTCCTAGTGTAGTTACTGGTTCGTGATGGGATATTTCTTTCATTCCACCCAAACTTAACTCTCACAGTTAAGACACACAATATGGCATTTTAGAGGATACCTATCAACACTGATGACTGTTTTTGAGAAATGGTAATAAATAGCATGGAGGCTAAAACAATCTCTCAGAAGGAATTGTCTCGAAAGGAACCCATTCCCTGAAACGTGGTTAAATGACTCAGGACCAGCACCTTCAAGAAGTCTGAAATAAAAGGTTGGCAGAGAGAAAAACAGAAGGCCTTTACGGAAGGTTCACCTTTAGCTGAGGGTTCACGTTCTGTAGGAGGAAGCCCTGCTCCAGGAGACTGGCTGTCTGTTCCCTGGATCAGGACAGCCGCCCCTCTCCTCCACCTGCTCCTGCCACAGAACCATTACTTGTTGTTAAAGCACAACACTTTAAGTGTGGGGAAAAAAATAAAAAGAACCTTTATAGTAGTTCCCGTATTCCTTTATATAATAATAAACTGAATCATAGGGGTTGTTCCAAACAGTTAAATATTGGCAATTTCACATGGCTCAACTTAATACAATGAGTAAACCTAAAATACACCCCTCAGGACTACCCTGGTGGCTCAATGGTTAAGAATCCTCCTGCCAATGCAGGGGACACGGGTTTGAGCCCTGGTCCGGGAAGATCCCACGTGCCACGGAGCAACTAAGCCCGTGAGCCACAACTACTGAGCCTGCGCTCTAGGGCCCGTGGGCCACAGCTACTGAGCCCATGTGCCACAACTACTGAAGCCCACGTGCCTAGAGCCCATGCTCGGCAACAAGAGAAGCCACCGCAATGAGAAGCCCACGCACCACAAGGAAGAGTAGCCCCCACTCGCCACAACTAGAGAAAGCCCGCACACAGCAACAAAGACCCAACGCAGCCGAAAATAAAATAAAATACATAAATTTTAAAAAACATTACATTAAAAATAAAATACACCCCCCAACACATACACATCACCAATACTCAGGGAAATTAGAAATACAAAACTCTAATTGTGAGATATGTGAGACTACAAACAAAACAAAAACCAAACTATCCCCCCAAATAATACTTGTTGTTAAAATTACAGTATAATATACACTTTCTTAAACTGCAACTTTTCATTTTAAACCCACCTCTATTTACCCTCTTCGGTGGGGAAATCTGCACATGCAGACTTTGGGCCTGAAGTCAGGACAAACAGCTTCCCAGAACAAAGTCAAGAAGGGGGCACTGACTCACCTGGAGAGTAACAGGTGACCCTGAAGCTGCAGGTCGGCGGCACAGTCCTCAGATCGGCAATTCCTTTCAAACACGGTCTGTGAGGGAGACACAAGAGGAAAAGCAAAACAGGGTTAGTGGTAAACGAGTAAATAACAGCTAACCACTTCCTTCCAAATCAGTGGGAATTCTTCCCGTGTGCTTGAGGCACAGCGAGGCCAAACAATACCAAAAAGTCGGAGTTTGGAGCAGACAAAGGTTTACTGCAGGGCCCTGCAAGGAGTCAGCGTCTCATGCCTTAAAAACCCTAAACTCCCTGAAAGCTTTCAGCAAAGCCCTTTTACAGGAAAGGTGAGGGAGGGGCGGGGTTCATTGTTGGAATCTTCTTGGTGTCAGATCCTTTGTTCCTGAGGTCGGGTCACATTGACAAGAAGGGGCAAGGTCCCAAGGCTCAACTTTCGCCCTCCAAGGTCCTCGTTAAGAGGCTGGCGGCGCCCTCAGGGCCAGGTCCCCAGGCGCCCAGGACCCAGCCGGCCCTCAGGCTCCTTAGGCCGCCCAACTGGGGGCCAGGTCCCGCCGACTGCGACCCAGGGTGGCTGTCGCCGCCATTAGGTCGCGGAGGTGGGCATGGGGGAGAGGTTCGCCGCTGCCTCAAGGCCGGAGCCCAGTGACAAGGGGCCCTCGGCCTGTCCCCGGGCCCCCAGCTCACCCGCTGGCGGAGGCCGAAAGGCCTGGAGGGCCCCGGGGAGAAGGCCGTGACCCATCTGTCTCCACACTCTCCGCCGCAATGACCGCTTCCCTGTTGACCCGGCGGAGTGGGACGTCTAACCACCGCGCCCCGGATCTCGCGCTGAGGGTATCGCGGTAAAGGCCACGCAGCTGCCCCGCCCCTATTACAATTCGGGTAAGTCCCCCACCCCCATGGAGCCAGGTCCCGCAGGGCGAGGGGTCCTCAGCAGTTAACAAGGAAACCCAAGTCAGGGTTGGCCTTGACCACAGAAGGCACCCCTTGTCTGATTCGTCTCTTAGGCTGCTCAAGTGCTTCTTCAAGTAGTTGTTTCAAGAAAGGTACACGGTAGGTGTTCTTCCCATCTTTGAGATGATCTTTAAATGCTCTCAGATCGGAATGAATAATAACCCATGTGAGTCAAGAACTCTTAGGTTACAGTCTGGTCATTTCCCTCTGCTGTCGTGGCGAGGCAGAAAATCCGTATTTGATGTGGGTTCTGCCTGAACGAGGGGTTCATACTATAATTTTTAATTCCAAAGGGGAAAGTCAAAGGCAATTAGGCTCTGAGGCCAAGGGCACCACAACCAACTGAAGGGATCCTGTCTCGGCAGGGCAGCCGGTAGCTATCAGGATGGAGTGTCCTTTCTCTAACCAAGGCTGGGCCTCCTGGGCCTCCAGGGCCTCCACCCAGTGCTGGGGCCTAAAGCTCACTATGCCACACCCAACATCTTTCCAGGGGGCTTGCAGCGTGTGCCTGAGCTGAGCCTACCTGTGGAGGGCAGCCAGGAATCAGGAGCAGCTCTGGGGAGGAGTTACAGTTTTCTTCTCTCTGTGGTACCCGGCGGGCTTGTCTGTCCTTTCCTCTGGTCTCAATCTCTCTGATGTCTCTAATCCGTGAACAGCAGGCTTCCTGAGTCCACACGGACAGAGACTCTTCACTAGTTAGATGCCTTTGATCACTTTGGTGGGATTTTGGAGAGAGGAGCCTGTGGCCGTTTTTCAGTTGTCATTTATTCACTATTCAACTTCTCTGTCATCACTACTCATATTTCTGGGTCCCCCTCTAACACATACAGAGAACATAGTTCCAGGTGATTCATCCTACTCCCACAAGACAAGTCCAGGCAGCTTCTCTGAGCATCCATGTGGACTCCAGCAAACGTGCTGGCCAACGAACAATCTAGACCCAACCAGGCAGAGTAACTTTGCTTATGGAAATTCATATTCCTGTGTCACATTTCCAAAAGAATAATATGTCCCAGACAACATTCCCTGCCGTGAGTGTGGGGGAAAAACTCATGAAAGTCTTGAGCAAAAAAAGGACATTCCCATGTTCTTTTAGCCAACACTGGGGGCAAAGAGAGAGCCAAATTTCCAGGAGATTTTAATAGGGGGCATTTGTGATTTATCTGCCATCTCAGTCAAGGAGAAAACAGGAATAAGTGGATGTGAGGTCTGCATGAATATCTCAGGTGGGAAAAGGCAGCTTTCCGAGGTTAGAAATGAGGAGAAACACCAAAGATGACTTTACCACCAAGCTGATGAAACTTCAGGCTGAAGGGCCTTCACTGACACGCTCCCACCGGGGCCTTGCACCTCACGTTCTATTCATGATGTTACTTGATTTTCCCCAAGAGAAGCTCTCCTCCCAAATCATATAAGCTTTAGGCTTCACTAAACCCAGCTCTGCCCCTGGTGACAGGCTTCTCTTTACAAATGTTTCTCCCATTTTACAGGCAAGAGACAGTCTGACTTCCAGCCTTTGGAGGTGGGGTGCGGTGGGGTGGGGAGCAGGTGAGAACTGACAAGGAGGAAGGGACCTACAGCCATCCCATGGCACACAATCTGAAAAAATGAGGTGCCTGCCCTCCTCAGCTCCATCTCCCTGGCTCTCCTGTGCCAGCCACCCCTTAGCCTGGCCGTATAACTTCCCACCTCAGGGCCTCCCCACATGCTGAGTCCAAATGCCTCCACCGGGTTCACCTGGTATGTGTCCTTTCATCCTTCAATGAGCAAATCAAAACCACATCCCTGAGTCCCTGATAAGCTTGGGCTCTGTCATAAGTTCTTGTAGTTCATGTACTTTTCCTTCTACTGCTCATCTCGATTGTAACTAATTAATTTTATCATTACGTGTTTCCCGTTTGTCTCCCCTGCTAAAATGATGCTCCAGGACTGTATTGGTCTTGTTCACCCCTGTGCCTTCCCTCAGACCCCAGCATGTAGAAGCTGCCACACTGGAGGACCCCACATGCTCTGAGAGATGGGGTGACCATTGGAACATGGGCCAATGAGAATACACTGCTCATCAACACCAAAGTTGTAGCCCCCCCAGCAAAGAACTGTTGCTCAGCTACAAGCTCTGTCCTTGGTCTGACTTTCCCTTGTACTCTGCTATTTCCTGTCCCTGAAACTAACTTCTCTAGCTGTTAAGTCCTCCAGTGCTGCTGAATTTCCTTCCAACAAAGGCAAGCACTGAGTCTGCCATACACACACTCACACACAAAAACTGGGTGTATACACACACACACACACACACACACACACACTCACATACACATTAGTTGAGTGCTTACACTGACCAGCTAAAATTAAGCACAAACTATAGTGAGAAGATAAAGCACAAGCTTAGAAATCAGTCCAGGACTCAATTTCCACATTTACAAAATGAAAATAACAGCATTAGTGACAATCTTGTTAATCCACATTAGCATTTAGCTGGGAGTGGGAGTTTGTGGCTATTACGCTGTTCTTGTTTTAGGCATCACTGTCTACACCAGCAAATGTGAATGACAATGATGATATGTAAGAGTGAGGTAAGAGTGAGCTCCATGAAGATTCCCTAGTGGACAGTGCAGTACAAGACCATGGAGAGAGAATCAAAATGAATCTCTCTCTGTGTAGACGACTGTACTTTCTGAAAACCAATGCACGATGTCTCCCATTGCACTCTTTACAATGTGACTCTGAGATTCCTCCCACAGAGAATGGTGTCAATACTTTACCCTTTGAATCTGGGTGGATTTGTGGCTGCAGAGAAGTGGTGCTTTGCAATTTCCAAGCCTAGTCATCAAAAGTACTAGAGGTTCCTCTGAGTTCTCTTGGGGCATTAGCTCCTGGACTATAGCTACTACCCTACAAGGAAGCCATGGAGAGGCCCACGTGGAGAGAAACTAACCGGCAGCATCAGAAACTTCCGGCCACGGAAGTCAGCCGCCATGGAAATGGGTCCCCCAGCCCCACCAAGCTGCCATGATGTGGAGCAGAGATGAGCAGCTCTGACCAGGCCCTGCCAAATTTCAAATTCATGAACAAAATGAATGACTGCTGTTATTTTAGGCCACTACATTTTGGGATAGTTTATTTTACAGAAATAGATTACTGGAATATTCCTCAACCTAATGGCCTCCCCTAACTTGGGTAATGGTGTGAACAAAAGTGGCTGTGCATTCCAAGCCCTGGCAAAGCCTTGGCTTAGGCAAGACGCTCCCCAGGCTGGTAATGAAGTTGTCTTATAGGTATAATATCAAGACAGCAAGGAATCAAGAGACCTGTGTCATCCACCTTGGAGACTGAAGTTGAAACTCAGAGATCCTGCGCTTGGGACCTGGATTCGTCTCTCTGGGGCAAGTGACAGTTTTGTTTCCTGAGGAACTGAAAAACATCTCTCTGGGGCAGAAACGGGGGCAGTCTGAAGCCTCAGAATGCTAGCTGACAGCATAGTTTCCAGGAGCAAGTAAAAAATATCTCTCCTGTACAAAGCGGAAAGAGTACAGGTTCTCCCTGAAGCCAATGGGCCAAACTACCAATTTTCCAACTTCTCCTCTGCCTGCTTCTCCACGTCTCCCTAACCCTCTGGGCAAACACAGGCCTGGCTGCCTAAATCAGGCAAATCTCAACCCAGCTTGGAAGCAGTCTCTCCCACCTCCTTCCAGCCTCGACCTCTGATTGGAAAATCCCTTTCAATTTTTTTTTTTTTTTTAACCTGGAAGCAGCCATTCTGGAAAATGGAAACAGAGCTAAGAAGACATCATCTCTGAGGACGTCCCTGGTGGCACAGTGGTTAAGAATTTGCCTGCCAATGCAGGGGACACCGGTTCAAGCCCTGGTCCGGGAAGATCCCACATGCCACGGAGCAACTAAGCCCGTGCGCCACAACTACTAAAGCCTGCACGTCCTAGAGCCCGTGCTCCGCAACAAGAGAAGCCACCACAATGAGAAGCCCACGCACCGCAACAAAGAGTAGCCCCCGCTCGCTGCATCTAGAGAAAGCCCGCGCGCAGCAAAGAAGATCCAATGCAGCCAAAAATAAATAAAGAAACTAAAAAAAGAAAAAAAAAAAGAAGACATCATCTCTGATTCCTCTCT